GCATGTTCTTTTTTAAGTTGGATACAGCGTTGACTTTTGGAAGTTATTTGTGTATTTAGATGCTAGTCTTTTGTTGAAAATATATTCTTCTAGTCTGTAAAATTTTTTTTCATCTTCTTAAGAGGGTTTTTGGTAGAAGAAAAAAATTTAATTTTGATGAAATTCAGTTAATCAGTTTTTTTCTCTTTTTTTAAAAAACACTTTTAGTTGTAGATAGACACAATGACTTTATTTTATATGTGTATTTTTTTGTGTGGTACTGAGGATAGAACGCGGTGCCTCGTACGCACTAGGCAGGTGCTCTACCACTGAGCTACAACCCCAGCCCCAGTTGTTTTCTCCTTGATCATACTTCTGGGGTCAAATCTAAGAACTCTGCCCAGTCCTGTGTTTTAAAAATTGCCTATATATTTTTCTGCTTGCTTTTTAAAATCTGTGTTTTGTCTTGACGGGTTTTTATTTTTCTTATTCCTGTTACCTCCTTCATTTTAAAATGCTTTCCCTGAATTCCATATTGCTTTAACTTGAAGAAGTCATGGAAAGGTTCATCAGAATCATTCATTACAGTTGGGGTCTATTTTAGAATATGTAAACTATCAATCTTCTCAGGGAAGGAGCTAGATCTGTTAAGACAACCTTTGTGATCTCTCTGTTCATGGGAAGTGTGTACTGAACCTGCATTATGTGTAGTTTTAATATGGATGTGTTCTTTCTATTTTTCTTGAGTTATGTTTTTTTTTTTTTTTTGTCAAGAAAAAGTGTACAGTTGTGGAGACATGCCTATTTCTAAGACCTCTGCATAGGAGGTAACCCATCTCTCTTCTAAAGCTTTGGAGTGGACAGTAATCCAAAACCCTTCCCTCCCTCCCTCCAAATACTTCCTTTAATAATGAAAAGAGTTTTACTGAGAGGAATTTACATAGAAATCTAGATGCTTATGCTATTAACTTTTTGGGTAATAATGAAGCATTTCATGCCTTTTATATGTTAGTAAAGCCTTGTTGGAAGAAGTTTATCACTTGAAGTGCCATGTATTCTTTGATGCTAGAGTTGTGTGTTTTTATCTCATCTTGATAAAAAACAATAAAGGAGTTTTAGGTTCTCTTCTATTTAATAAGCTATGTTTTGTTTTATATTCTGCCTTCTTCTTTCTGCCTTTTATCTCTTCCGTTGTTTTCTTGGGTGTATTTATAGGTCTCAAAAATAATGATACATATATTTTCTCAGCCTTAAGGTGTTCTATGTATTATTGGGATTCAGAATGTAGCTGGAGGCCTGAGGATGGCTATCCAGGGGTAGCTTGTCACTTGGTAATATCCTGCTGACTTTGTGTGTCCCTTAAATTTCATAATCATGAGAATCTCATTATGGTTCAAAAGACTCATTAGTTGACAGAAGACCCACCTCAAGTTTCTTTCTCAGATTCATTATTTTCTCAGATTGGACTAGATAAGTATCAGGTTTCTCTCAGCTCAGAGATTCTGTCATTGAATCTATTTCTCCTTAATATTATGTAAAGGAATTAAAAAGTCAGAGAATGCATAACTATTATAGTTCAGTAAAGGAAAAAGAAAGCAGTTTCTACCCGGTCTTTTCTATCATGTATATAAATCTGTGCAGTTACAGTGCAATTTGGTCTTTTGGAGACTTGAGCATTTGTACTAATATAAAAGGCCACCTACCTGTGAAGTACAGGGTGATGACTTTATTTCCTTAGGTGAGGCAAATTATTTTGATAATATTTCATCTTCCTTTCAACATAGCAGTAAGTCCTAATTGCACAGAGCTATAAAGGTTTGAGAAGACCCTGCACAACTCTTTAAAAATGTGTTATTATGTATTATTGCGTTTCAGTGGTAAACCTTAATTTTTTTACCCCCCGCCCCCACTACTTTTTGCAGGCATGCTACCCTCTTTGCAGGCAATGCACTTTGAGAGACTAGTTCATGGTGACTTGTTTTTTAAAGCTTACCGCTGATATCCCTGGAAGTTGTATTTCTTTTTTTTTCCCCAGGGGGTAGGGAGGGGTACTGAGGATTGAACTCAGGGGCACTTGACCACTGAGCCACATCCCTAGCCCTATTTTGTATTTTTATTAGAGACAGGGTCTCACTGAGTTGCTTAGCACCTTACTTTTGCTACGGCTGGCTTTGAACTCAGCCTCCTGAGCTGTTGGGATATCAGGCGTGAGCCATCCGCCTGGCTAGAAGTTGTATTTCTTTTGGGTAAGTTCATTAAGCAACAACTGAAGATAAAAATTTAACGTGTGCTAAGTCAATGGTAATTCTTTTATACACCATATTTCATAATAGTACACTATCAGAGAACATAAAACTTTAACTAGCTTAGATAATTGTTGGTTTTATTATTTGATAATAGAAAATAGTACTTCTGGGAAATTATGTAATTTTTACCCCCCTCTTACCCAGTGCCGGATAAAAAGAGAACCTGGTTCCTACTGGAGGCTATGCCTGCGAACGTATTGCTTCTGATTAACTGGTTGATGTTTATATATATTTCCTTATCCTTATAATATGTACTAGGTCTTCCATGTGGTATGCAAAGCCCTAAAACATAGACCAAACAATAAACCTTGTTGTCTAGACAAGTCTCCCCTATCTTTCCCCTCAGAATAATACTTCATGATAAAAACACAAAAGTATGTGAATGGTAACTAAAAAACCAGCTTCCTTTTAGAAAACCACTATGATTTGCATAAACCACTTGAGTGTCTGGCCAATGATTATCTGCTTTGTCAGTCCCTAGGGCCCTTTAACATTAGTTATTTATATTTTTATAGATAAGGAAAGTTCTAAATTTGAAGATGAATACTTTTTAAATTCTTCCAGTAATAATTTATATTCCAAAGTCTTAGAAAGTCAATAAAGTCAACAAAATCTGTATTGTTATAACCTTATGACCATATAGATAAAATTAAAGACCTTGAAGGATTTTGAGTTTGTGTTGTGCATAACCTATTAATTGTTTGCCTTTGGTATTACTGAGATGTGTTAAGGGTAAATACTCAGAACATACCAATGCACAAATTGGAAAGCAAGTCTAAAAGTATTTCTGTCATTACTGCTAAAATATCCTCAAGAGCTGGGTGTGGTAGCATATGCCTATAATCCCAGCAGCTCGGGAGGCCGAGGCAGGAGGATTGGGAATTCAAAGCCAGCCTCAGCAAAAGCAAGGCGCAACTCGGTGAGACCCTGTCTCTAAATAAAATAGAAATAGGGCTGGGGATGTGGCTAAGTGGTTGAGTGCCCCTGAGTTCAATCCCTGTACCAAAAAAAAAAAAAAAAAAAAAAAGAGTAGTAGAAACCACAGCCTGGCTACTTCTTTTGATGTTTGTTCATTGAAGCATACTACCAGAGATGGCTCAAGGAAGAGATTAATATAATGCATTGCTGAAGTTTTGCTGGGCTCGACTTCTGGAAAAGTACATTGATGCTGAAATTCTTATAATTAGGTACACGTCTTACTGATAGTGAAATAATAGCCACCATTGAGATTATTTATCAGTATTTATTATCTAGCAACTGCAAACAAAACTGAGTAAACTTCATTGCTGAAGCCTGGCATTGTTACAGATAAATTTGCATAAGCCATAACTGATAAGATGAAAAGTCTAATTTTCCAGGTACCAATAGTTTGAAAGTTTCTTTCAATTTAAATTAGTATCTACATACACTTTTTATTTTTGTCCAGTCTTTTACATGTTTTATCTGAGACTGTAATGCATAGGGAACTATTTGGATTTATCTTATGTAACATCAGTACATTCCATGTCAGAGTGGTCACAGTCATGAGAAAGCTTTGTGGAAGCAAAGGACAGAATACTAAGACTGGTCCTGTCCTCCATCAGTAGTATCATCATCATCATCATCATCATGATGGTCATTATCCCTAACATATCTTGAGATACATAGTAATTTAATCATCATAGTAATCCTGTGAGGAACATGTAGCATCACAGTTCCTTATTACTTTTCCAGAAATTTTTTGGAGTTAAGAAAGGCAATCAGTGCACAAACCATCTATTATACAAATGTGCAGTGGGGTCTGGGAAAGCACCTCATATGCAGCCCAGTAGGATTTCTTTAGGGAAACGTGAATAGTTGTACTGAGTAGAATAAACAAAAGCCATAAGTACGCTCATGTTAATTCAGATTGGTTCTCCCCACCACATGAGTTCAATGGGAGGTTAAGGCATTTGGAGAGAAACTGAACTTTCAGCTGGGATTTGACAAAGAAATGTATTCCAGTGAATAGAATGAGAAAATCAGAAAGGACAGTGTGGCCCAGTTTTAATGTATGAAAAGATGTCAGTTACAAGAAGGAAGGATTGAAATTATTCAGGACAAGCTCACTAACTCAGGGCCCAGTTGGGCTAGGGTATAGAGGTGTTAAAAGCTGTCCAAAGACTGCTCTGGAATGTCAGCGCTTCCAGTTCCTGGATGTGTGAAAGCACAGTCAAGTCACCTGTTTGTCAGCCACAGTAAAAGTGAGTCACGGGATAGAGTTAAGCATAGTGAAGTGCATAAGGACTTGATTTCTGGGATCAGACTCCTAGCACTGACACTTCTTTCTACCGGCTGTCTCTGTGACCTAAGCGAGGGTTATGATGATTTTCATTAAAGTGCTCAGAACAGAACCTGGTACACAGTAAGTGCTAAATAAGTCACTAATAAAATATGCTCATATTGTTGTCATGGGATGAGTGGTTAGTTGATATACCCTTTAAAGTTACTGTCACTTTAAAAGACTTTGAATTTCTAATTGTGTAGTTATGTGACAATATTCTTGAAAATTAAGAAGATGGAAAGGAGGAAACTGAAGCTAAGCACAAATGTGCAGATGTATGAATAAAACTGATTTATTGACTAGAATTTTTTCTGTCCTTTTGGGGCCTTGGAATCTTGCATTGCCCGTCCAGGGTATTTTCTGAGCAGCTGGGACTGCATGACTCTCTGTTCATGTTTTACTTTGTGTCTTAGGTTAAGTAGCCTCGTGGACTGGGATGCCTACCCAGAAATTGGGATTGGAGATAATGGATGAAGATCAATTAATGGAAGAAGTCTTGGATAAGTTTGTTAATTGTCATGAGCAAACATATGAAGAGTTTCGGAGCACTTTTACTCATCTTTCAAAAGGTAAGATGGAGAAGTAAACATTCTACAGCAGTAGAGATAAAGAATTTTATTATATGTCTTTGTGTTTGCTGCCTTTTAAGAAGGACCATTTCATGAATACTCCCTCTTTTCCTTTATCAGGTAATTTTTATTAGGGCATCTGTGACAGATGTGTGTAAATACCAGTGTCTTTCTGTATCCGAGAGCTGTGTCATGGAGTCAGAGCCATTGAGTTTGATAACTCAAATTGCCCTAGGAAATTATTTAATATAATCTCTTCATTTTATTTTTAAAGACATGCAAATGCAAAGAGTGGAGGTTGTTAAAAGCATTTTAAAAACCTAAGATATACTACATGCATTTGGATCCTGGTGTCACCATTTGATGGCCATGTGACATTGGGGGAATAATAATAATATACCTGTCCCAAGGGTTGATAAGGGCTTGTTGAGAGCCTTGTATAACTCAGCATAGTGGTTAATGCATGGTGGGCACTTTATGAATTCCAGATATTGTTAATGTTGTGATGTTGGTGATGATGCTGTGGTTTCTATAGACAGGAAACAACCTTTTAGACCTGCTGTAATAACCCGAAGCCTAAAGGTCAAATCCCTGCTGTGGGTTTCATTACATGCTTTGTTGCTTCACACAGTGTCATTTTTAAATTGCGCCAGTGCTTAAAAGTTGGACAGTTTTATAGGAAAACCTTGATTTGTATCTTTTTCTTTTTTTTCAGATCAAGTGAGGATATCTGTTATCTGTTATTTCCCTTATGAGCTGAAGGTCAGGAGCCTTAGCCTTTTGAGCTCTCTAGTATATACACTCTTGGGTGCTCAGTCTAAAAATGTATGCACATGTTGTTTGCTTTTTCATTTAAGTGGCTTTCATGGGCACTGGAGTTGTAATCTTCATTTTAGGTTCTGCCTCAGGTTGTCATTGGTTGGCTGTGAATCTTTGTTCTTTTTGGACCATTGATCTGCATTTGAAGTGAGGTCATTGGTTCTCCACCTAGACTGTCCTGAGGAGCTTTAAGACCATATTAATACTAGAGCCCACTCTAAAGCTCAGCCGAGGCTAAGGACTCAGTATTTTGTAAAAGTTCCTGTAGTAATTCTGATGTGCACGTAAAGTTGAGAACAGGGGTTTCATAATCTCTGAAGTCATGACAGTTTTAAGGAAACCTGATCTCATAATTATAAGTCATGATTCCTATGCTCTAAGCAGATGTAAAAGAAAGATAGTTATCATGAAGAGGAAATGTGATGTTAGTCTGTTTTATCATGCAGGATACAGGTTAATCTAAAAATCTGAAATGATTTAAAATTCAAAACTTTTTGAGCACTGCTATGATGTCACAAGTAGAAAACTACATACCTACTTGTCCTCATCTGATAAGTCACGGTCAAAACACCAGTGCCCTAAAAATATGGTATAAAATTACCTCCTAAAGTGTCTATGAAACATGACTGGATTTTGTGTGTAGATATGAGTTTCATCCTCAAGATAATGTCATTACTGTCTATTTCAAATATTCCAAAATCTGAAAAACCTGAAATTCAAAGCACTTCTGCTTCTAAGCATTTGGAAAAGTGATACTCAAGCTCTAAAATAACATCGATAACTGTTTTGTTTAAACTAAAACAAAAACAAAAACAAAAAACAAAAAACATGGAATGTGGGTATTATTTACTCTTATGGGTCATAGAGATTTTAGGCATGTTAAAGATAGTTTTGGGGATGTCAGTGAATGATGTGTTTTGATATGATACGCAGATCAAATCTGGAGAATGACCAAATCTCTTTTTAGTTTATGAATTTAGGTTTAGGAAGCTGCTTCCTTTTTCTGAGCCTTGATTTCCTTCTTACCTTCTGGACCCAAATATGGCAGTATGAATGGCTGGCTGGGGTGGGGTGGTGGAAACAAGGGAAAAAACTGGTAGGATGAATGAATTTTGGATTGCCAGTGGCATTGTGAAAATCCAGATTATCTTGGAAATTATTTGTGTGACCCACTTCATTTTTGTAAGGTGGAATAGTAAAGTCTTATTACAAGGACTTTGATATTGTAAGGGGTTACACTGTGTTTATCTTTGAGGTCAGAGTCTAGTCTGTTTTCAGTTTTTTGTGTGGTTACTACATGCAGAGAAAGCAACTGTTGCAGATGTGGTAACTTAGGTTTTTTTTTTTTTTTAAATTTTATTTTGGTAGTTGGAGATGGACAGCATGCCTTTATTTTATTTGTTTATTTTTACATGGTGCTTAGGATAGATCCCAGTGTCTCACATGGATAAAATAAATTATAAGACATATTAGAATATCAGCAGGCAGATTTTTTTTTTTTCCTATTGTTTGTAAAGATATTACAAGGCAAGCACTCTGTCACTAAGCTATAGCCCCAGCCTGGTAACTTTGTTTTGAGTTTGGTTTGGGGCCCCAAATTGAGCTGAAATAGATGATGATGCGAGTCACATAAACTGCATCTCCAAGCACAGTTGTTTTTCCTTTCAAAATATCCTTAGGCACCAGTTCACATTATAAACTAATGACCTGAAAAAAATTCCTCTTAAAGCACAAAGAAATGTGAGTGAAAAAATATTTTAAATCAGTGTCTGTGTTTCCTCTGAAACATTTAAACACCTTCTGCAAAACCAAACAGGACTTGGGGACAGGCCTAACTAAGAGTTGAATAAGAACCCGGAGAACTCATCTAGGTTTACATGATCAGTTTACTTGAGAAACACATTAAGGCTCATTCTTCAAAGCCCCTCCCCTTCCTTCCAGGCCCTTCATTTGTCTGAATATTTGTTTGTTTTGCTTATATGTAGTGAATCTTCTCTCTGTTATCACCGTACGTACTTATGTACATTTTCTTAGTAACTTCTGTTTCTCAAGTCCATTACCATTTCTACTGATTGACTGTTCTATTTATTTTTATAATAGTTGTATGCCAGAATGCTTATGAGATTCATTTTCTTTCCAAGAGTGTTAAAAGGGTCAGTAATCCTATTAAAAACATTTCCCTAGAAAAAAATTAAATTATAGCCTTATTGAAAGAAATTCACATTACTGCTTCAGATTCTTGGAAAACAGTTGGAAACTGTTAATATTGCAACATAATTCTCACTACAGTACATTTATGTTGATAGTGTTTTGGAATTTTTTCTTTTATAAAACAGCTAAAGGTTTTTTAAGTCCTGGTACGTATTTGAGAATAAATATACTGTTACAGCAAAATATTTAAAGAGATATTAATTATTAAACAGTTATAATTGAATTCTTAGTAGTGTCTTCAGTTCAAGAGGATAAAATAAATTATAAGACATATTAGAATATCAGCAAGCAGATTTTGTTTTTTTTCCTATTGTTTGTAAAGATATTATATTATTGACATTGTGGATAAATGTAAGCATCAGGTTTCAGTTTCAATCTTCTGTGTCTCAGTTTCTTTGTGAACATAATTTACAGGTCTTTTCAGAGTATCTGTGGAAAAAGACTTCTTTCTCTTTTTCACATTTCTATCATTTTGTTTTTAGGTTCTAAAAACACAGGTGTGAATATTTCTTTTTGATTTTTTTTGTTAATGCATTTACTAATTTATTCATTCGTTAATATTTTGGGTGGGATACCACTGAACCAACTTCAGGTCCTAGATCCTAAGACATTAAGTATAGCACAGGAAGGTTTGATGGGTAAGAGCAGAAGCTGACCGATGTTAAAATGCCTCTGCTGGGTCACGGTTCTGTTGCTTTGATACTGAGATATGTGTCTCTCTATATCTGTATGTGCTTTTATATAATTCCACTTTTAAAACAGTAAGTATTCTGGATGAAGATGTAGCTTTGGTTTAGTAGGTTGAGAATTACTTCTAAACTGCTGAAGGAAAGAGGCAATTTCTTTTAATGTCCTATCTCAGGGTTATCACATGAACTGATTTTGGAAGCAGTTACTCCCAGCTTTTAGAGTGCTAGCTACCATTCATGTTGCTGTCTCACAGAAACTGTGCAGTTAAGAAGCTGGTGACTTAGAAGTTGACATTAAATCTTTTTAACTCCATTTTGTTACATACAGCAACTTTGGGTGTATGCTGTAGAGCTATGGTTTGAATGTGGCTTGTCCCCTACAGGTTTATGTGCTGAAGGCTTTGTGCCCTGTGTAGCAGTACAGAGGTAGGGCCTAGTGAGGGAATTAGATCATTGGGAATGCTGTTCTCTGAAGGCATAATACTGGTCGGTCTTATGAAGTGAGTTCTGGTGAGAATGTTTTGTCATAAAAGGCCTCCCTGTCCCCTCCATGGTCTTCAGTGCCCTCTTTTACCTTGTGATCTCCCCCTCTTGCACATGCTCCCACTGTGATGCCATCTTCCATGAGATCCTTATCAGATCACTAGCATCATCCTCAGCAGATGATGGCATCATGCTCTTGCATTTTCAAAACTATATGCTCAATAAAGCTCTTTATCTAACTTACCAAGCCTCAGTTATCTTGTTATAACAAAAGAAAACACACTAATTCAGAGGGTTACAACAGTCTTCAATTCTCAATCTCTTTCTCTTTCCCTTTCTCACACATATGTACCCTATTATCATTGTCCTGATCTTGTGCTTTAGGCTACATGGTTAATTTTCATCAAAGTTGCCTATTTTACCAACTAAGTCAGCCTAAAATAGTTTGGAAATTGAAATCAATCTACTGTGATTTTATGATAATTCTTAAATGAGTCTTTTGTCTTTTCATTCATTTCTTTCTTAAAATATCTGGGATTCAGTTTCCCAAGTGATTGTATGAGTTTCTGTATTAGCATATAGTGCAGTATTATATTCATTGATGCATTTATCAACTTTAACCTATTTTACTATGTGTAGATCAAAGATTTTTTGTTTCAGATTTGATGTGTAATTTCATTTCTGTTTTTTTTTTGTGCTGTTCTCATTACTCTTTTAGAACCTTATGCTTTTAGCATTTTACTGTTCTTTTAACATAGCTTTGAAAAAAAACTGCTGTCAACCTCCCTTTTTTCCTTC